TGATGCCTAGCAACTACTGTTAAATTCAAAGTAAACTGAATACTATGGAAAGTAATGCCTCCAATTTATTTCCATGGAAACTACAGCAGAGACAAAGAGCATATTAATATTATTTCACAGAACAGGCTCTCAGCTACGAAACACTATTTCCCAACATAGTCGTCACCATTCAGTGAGCACTTTCACCAGTGAAGAGCAACAGCCTGCATTCCTCACTCAGAAAAAGCCGCACCTGCAGAGGTGACCCACTGCCACCACTGCTGAACGCAGCACCCACTGACTCACTGTGCTCACACCCACTCTCTGGGCTTCAGGAATGTTCAGAAAGTGCTGATGAATGTCAAGAGGTGCAAAGTTTTCTGCATGGAGGAATTCAATTACAAACCTCTGCTTCATATGCACTTCCATGTAAGATGCCGTTCTGACAGAACGCCCCTCCACTGCCACCAGTCGTACGGCAACAAAACATAGTGGAATATTGGCAGGAAGGTTCAACCTCTACTGCTATATCACCATCCGCTCCCAACGGTGTGGGCCAACATAATGAAATAGGAGGCATTACTTTCAGAGCAGCCCTTGTATATCACTGTCTGTTGCAGTGGCTCCAAAAACCCCACAGCTGCACGTGTGCTGAATTAAAGCAGCAGCCTGCGTTGCTCCAACCTCCTCTCAGCTCCGCTCTCCAGAGGTCTCTGCTGGCCACAGGTACCTCTGGCTCAACTTCTGGAGGCCCCAGACTGCACAGCTCCAGTGTTACCACCTGCCGCTGTGATTCCTCAGATACGGGCTGGTGACGGGAAACGGACTCCTCACACAAGAACAGATTGTATGCTTTTATTTAGTAACATGAACAACAACAATAATTCTTCCGGGGTTTATTGCCAAAATTTGTCACTAGCACACTTCCAGCACAGCTCACCTTTCCTATCTTGGCTGAGTCCACACACACTCTATCGATTTCTCTGTCAAAAACCTCTCATGTCGATCTTTTCCCCTCTGATTTCCTTCAAGGTCCACCTCATTCCACCTGTTGAAAAGGAACAGGGCAAGGACCTTCAAACAGTAACTTCACTATAATGAAAAACTCCCCAAACTGAAATCTGTACTTCCAACATTTGCAGGTATTTCTATTCAGGTGTTTCATTTTGTCAGCTGTGCATATAGCTGAGGACAACAGAAACAGTAGCAAGTACCTAGAATATCTGCTTTGAGAAGAAAATATAAGTTCAGTTCACCCAGTAGCCTTAAATTACAAAGTTTGTTGTTGTTCTGGGTCATCCCCAAACTAAAGCACAAAGAATTGTAAGTGCAATTTTTAGAACTTTTTGTTAGAATACTTCAGTGTTTTGTTATACATGTTGTATTTTACATTTTTCTCGTGTGGAGAAAACTTTGGAATTTTTTTTTAATTAGGAGGTCTCTTGCCCAGGTTTCCCAACATCCTGAAAAAGAAGAGGAACAACAGCAGGAGAATCTACAGATTCATGAGGAGATCTTCAGACTCTCGATTCTCAGGCAGAGGTCATGCTTACAAAAGAACCTCTGTAGTTCCTAATAGAGATGGAGGCCTCCAGCACTCCAAGCTCTCTCTGTACAGCACCACCTACCAGCACAAATTAATGCAAAGTTGATCAGCCTGGCTTGCCTGGGTTGCACTGACTGAAGAATAATTGTCTCGGGCCACACATGGAATATATAATGCAGTTATTGTACATAACTAACAAACCTTTGATGTTTTATTTAAAAATATTTCAAAGATACAGAAGTAGAAAGCAACAAACCCATAAAACTAGTGGGATATTTGACCTTGTTTTTGTGAAACTAATGCATCAGTCTGGTTCAGTGGAAGTGGCTGCCATTCTCAGTGAGTTCTCACGGTGCCTGTTGTAGATTTTTGATGAAAATCTCATCTTCCTGTGCCTAACCCTCAAAAATAGTTGTTCACAATTGCACACACTGCCAAAAAGTGACAGCATGAGTAAGGTGCGACTGTGAAGCAAGGAGTATCTTTCTCCTCTAGGACAGGGCTTATAAAAACCTAGTAAAAAATATGGTAAAATTTTTCATTGAGTTGAATGTCTGACTGCAGGTCTACACATTCCACTTGAAAATCTGCAGGTAATGTAACTGACTGAAAACAGCCACAAATACAGCAAAAATTGATGATTTTTTCCAGAAATCTTGAAATCTAGTCCCAAATTCCTTTATCAAAACTGAAAGCAAAGCTGCTTATTTTTTACTATTCACAAGACCGTTTAGCCAGTGAATGAAAATACATATAACTGTTTGCCATCACTTGAGAGGGCGCAGTGCAGTGCTAACTCAAGTTCTCGTCTCAGCCCAAATCATTGACTGCACACCAGTTTAGTCGTTTCTGAGCAATGGGTGCATGCCCAGGGCAGGGCTGCCACAGTGTCACAGCACAGGGGCGTTGCAGGGTGAGCTGTTCAGGGCCATGGTGGGCCACGCTCAGACCAGTAAATCACAGGAGCCCTGTGGAGCCACTGCTGCATCTCACAGTTCCCAGCATGCTGTGGCTGCACGCAGCCTAAACAACTTCCTTAGCAGAGGTCATCACCAGTCAGGTGACAATAGGTGACAACAGCTAATTTTGTGGGAGATGGTGGGTAACTGTTTCTCCTGAGACTGCTGAGCAGCCTGCTACCAGCGCGTGTCCTTCATTTCCAACACCAGGGCTCAAGCGTTCTCTGCAAGTTCCCCAAGTTGGACACCAGCACACTAAGAGATGCCTTTGAAGGTCTGGTGGCAAAAGGTTCCGCTGCTCCACTCGGGTGGCCACACTGCAAGTCTCTTGAGCAGATCAATCTCTGGGAGAGGCCCTTGCATTTCCCTACAGAGTGCTCACGTCCCTGCAAGTTGTGCTGCTGGAATCGCTCACAGCAATATAAGCAGCAAGCCCCTAAACCAGCACGAGCTCCTCCTTCCTACTGCACACAGCCATGCCACACGTCTCTCTTCAAAACTGAGAAGTCACACATCCTTCTCAAAAACAGGCTTTCTTCCTAAACTGCACTCAGATTCTTCTGAGTCTCACTGCCCTAAGTGCTGTTACTACATGAATCCACACCAAACAGGGTCAGGTTTTAACCTGTGTTTGTGCCATTTTGTTATTATTTGCCATGAAAAACAGCAGTAAAGAACATGAACCCCAACCTCTATGTACATGCGATTGCAAATCACATCACTGAGTTTAAGAAAGGGAAAACATTTATTTGCTTGGTAACATTTGTAGCCCTTACTGCATCCCTATTAGACTGAACTAACTTCTCCTAGCACAGATGACCAGAGGTGGAATGACTGTTGGACCAGAAGTCATGTTTCAGATGAAGCATCATCTCTGCTTCCAGCAACAATCTCCTTCCAATGCCTGGGAGCACACAACATTGTCACAGCTATGTCATAATGACTGCAGGATAACTCAGCTAGTCATTAGAGACAATTCCCTAAACACGATGTTGTAATTACTCCAGCACTCATGTATTTAAAGATGCTCAAGGCTTTACTTCCAAGTGTAACAAGTTAATAAATCTAGTTACACCACTTGCATTTTCCACATCGTAACATTACTAAAACCTGTCCTAAAAGCCATCTTACAAGGAATTCTATTCCAGAATAAGAAGCCAGAACACAGCAGATTCAGCTGCACTGCCCACCAGCTCTATGCTCTGGCTCCCATCTCTGCCCACACACAACCCTCCCACCCGTAGGATCATTGCAGATCACCTTACTTCTGGCTCTGGTGATGACCAGAGGATTAAGTGCTGCCACTGTGACATTAATCTGACAAAACTTGATCCCATGCATCGTTACACGTTCAGCACCAGTCTTCTGCACCACCTTTTCTAAAAAGACCCTGCTGCCAAACCCTGTGCTTGACAGTACAGCAACACACTTTGCTCAAGGGGACAGACTTCCACATTTCTCATTGGAGTCTGCTATCTACCAGATTGACTTCTCACCCTTTTCACCGTTCCTTCTGCAAACAATATGTCTGCAGTCCTTGCTTTATCATCTCTCTTCTACTATCATTTATTGCGACTGTTCTTGAGTTGCTGTCCTGATTTTTTTCTGTCTGACACTCAATCTCCCAATCTAGATAATGCCAGACAAGAAACAACACATTTTCTACTTAGCAAGCCTGTCATATACCATGCATAGCAATGCTGCTTCATAGACTTCTCGTTTTATTTAAAATTGAGTATCTTTCACTTCCATATGAACTGCTGGCAAAACAACACAGCGATTCTGAAACTGCAAACTAATCAGCGCTTTTTGTAGAACCACCCACATCCCATGACAAATACATGCACTGCTACTTGTTGAGTTCTTTGCTTTCTTGGTGCAGGCTGCCAGACAAAATAGCTACCAATCTCAGCCTTTAAGACTTCGTATGCTACAGCAGCAAGCACTGCTGCTTCTTTAACAGGCAGACAGCCAAAATAAAACAACAGCACTTCTGTAGACTTTCAAAGCCTCTGCTTCCCTTGATTTTGGAATGAGGTGGGTTTTTGTTTTTGTTTGGGGTTTTTTTGCTTGTTTTAGCACACCACTAAGTAGAATACCGGATTAATAAATACAGTCCACAGAAAATGAGAAGACAGGCATCCAGTGCGCATTCATATTCCTGGTATTTGCAGAACCACATTCTTCTCAAACATGCAGAAGAGTACTAAGCTCACACTGCATATGCAAAGTGTAACTCAGAACACTGAACACATCCAAAGAAACAAACAAAACACAACATACACATCTGGGGATCTACTAAATAAGTAAAAAGAGACACACGTGGTTACAGGTGCAACTTGCCCCTCGAGTCCAAAGCAGGAACAATGAGACATGCAGGCAGTAAAACAAGGTGATAGCCTAGACTTCACATGCAGCACCACCAATTCCTGCCTCATTCATTAATATGTGCTTTTCATATATATTTTGCAAAGAAAAGAGTAATAATTCGTATGAACTTAAAACCAGCTACGTACCTTCCTCTTCTGCCAACTGCAGCAGAATTCAAGTTTCACAGATGTACCTGTTGAGAACTGTGCATCCAAAGTTATTTATTACTCCTACTTCAGTACAACCCTAAGCTTAGCTGAACAATTTAAAAACAGCATAGGATAAAACGGGCTCACTACACAAGAACTACAAGACTGAATCAGAACTGCAAGGCTCCCTCAGTTTTGTCCTCTCCCAAAAAGAGAGTTTACCAAACAATACCTTAATTCCTAGCAGACAAACGTGAACAGGGCAAGCATGACCACATCCCATTATAATAATCATCATCCCTCATATTACACATTCAAATAATAAGCCATCTTTCACAAATGCCACTTTCTGCCCAAAAACTCAAGAGCCCACAAGTTGTTTCTCAAACGCTTCTTTTAACCAATACATTTCGGAAGCAGAATAAATACAGGTGCTCTTGGGAGAGCAGGGTGTTTGTGGGAGCAGTGGTCCTTGAGAGCAGCTCGGCAGAGAAGGACCTGGGGGTCCTGATGGACGAGAGACTGAATATGAGCCAGCAGTGCGCTCTGGCAGCTCGAAAGGCAAATGGGATCCTGGGCTCCATCAGGAGAGGGGTGGCCAGCAGGAACAGGGAGGTGATTGTCCCTCTCTACTCGGCTCTTGTGAGGCCCCATCTGGAGTCCTGTGTCCAGGTGTGGAGCCCTCAGTACAAGAAAGACACTGAGATTTTGGAAAGGGTCCAGAGGAGGGCGACTAAGATGATCAGGGGGCTGGAGCACCTCCCCTATGAGGACAGGCTGAGGGAGTTGGGCTTGTTCAGCCTGGAGAAGAGAAGGCTGCGGGGTGACCTCATTGCAGCCTATCAATACCTGAAGGGAACCTACACCCAGGAGGGGAGTAAACTCTTCAAAAGGGCTGATAACAGCAGGACTAGGGGAAATGGTTTTAAGTTGAAGGAGGGAAGATTTAGGTTGGATGTTATGGGGAAGTTCTTTACTAGGAGAGTGGTTAGGCCCTGGAACGGGCTGCCCAGGGAGGTTGTGGATGCCCCGTCCTTGGACGTGTTCAAGGCCAGGTTGGACGGGGTCCTGGGCAACCTGATCTGAATGTGTATGTTTGGTGGCCCTGCTAGGCAGGGGGGTTGGAACTACATGATCCTTGAGGTCCCTTCCAACCCGGGTGATTGTGTGATTCTGTGTGATTCTGTTCTTGTGTTTATTCCCATGAAGAACGAACGTTCCAGTCTTCCTGTGACTCAATCAGGTGTTCTTCCCACACGGATGCCTTTCACAGTGGACCACAGTTTTACTCACGTGCTTGAAGGACTTGCATTCAGAAAGTCTGCTGCAGGGAGAGCAGCCCCTTTGGTTGACCTGCCTTCCCCAGCAGCACATACCAGTAGCATCAGGCTCCTCCCTACAAAACGCCAGAGAAGAACTTACCGTACACCACACCACCCACGTGCACTTCCAGGCAGGGGCAGCAGTATCCTCCCAAAGTAGCAACTTCTCACCAAAGGACTTCACGCTTGAGAAACCTATAGCAAAGTTAGGTTAAAGAGATGCATTTGGAAGGGTTTTCTCCAGGTTCCTTGGCTTTTCTGAGAATCATAACCATACTGATAGAGGTGCTTTGGTTTCTCTGTCACTCCAGATTTCAAAATTCATCTGTTTGTTCTTTGTTTCTGTGGTCCTCGGTGAACAAGGATAGGAGCATTTAGCAAAAGCAAATTAGTACCAGAACTTCAATTTCTTGGAAAATAAGCAGGTGTCAGTGGTTAATAAACAATGTTACTACACTGTGCTATTTGATTTTAAAGTCTGCCTAAAGCATCTAGATGATGCAGGTCCACTGTGCTTTTGTGTCTTTTAACAATGAAAAGAATGTTATATCAAGTTCCCTGAACACTGAAAAACAAAGTAAAGGAGCATGCCAATTATTTGCACACACACCTATGAGAAAGTCAGAAAGTTGTTTTGTTGTGTTTTTTTTTTTTGAAGACTTGAAACCCAAGTGCAATATATGAAATCCTTAATATCACCAATGGATGCCAAGTAGGTTAACCCTGGTAAGACTGGACTGCTCCCTTGTGGCACCACACATGGGTGAACTCTGATACAGCTCCCCAGCTCTCAACTCCAACCAACGCTCATCTCTGGACAGAGCAATCTTGAGCCATTTATCACTTCCCCAGATGCACACTGACAATGCCTTCCTGCTGGAGAGCTACTGACAGCAGCAGAACTTCCTCAAAGATGATGCAGCTCAAAATACCAAGTTCTGAAGACTGAAAATGACTGCCTAAGACTTCGGGACTTTACAGAGCTTCCCTCTTTCTCATTAAGAGCCCTTCAAACTGGTTTACAAACTATGCTGTGCCCAAATCTCAACTGCACACTGACTTTTCCATGAGCTATTATGAAGCTACACAACTGCACTGCTACTTATTGTCCTACAGGTCAGGAGAGGAGGTGCAGGCAACCCCATAAATAGTGATTCTGTTTGTTGAACTAAGTCCATTCAGTAGCAAATTACTAAGTTTTTCCAAATGCAGACCCTCTACATTTAGGTAACCACACATCACATTAAAATTTGCTGAAGGTGTCAACATGTAAACATGAAGACTGTATCCAAAACAGAACTTTACCTACCTCACAGAACTTCAGGTGGACAGACACCGGTTCTATTAAGATGTCAGGTGCTTTTAGAAAAATCACCAAAATGATTTTGTATCTGCTTTAAAAACTACTGCACAGCACGACCAGATGCTGACTAATTTTAAAAAACTGCTTGGAGACATTACCTTCTCCTTACCAGCACAAGGTACCAGCAGGCAGCCTCCCCTTTGCTGTTCAGTGAAATACAAGGGGAAAGAAGAACAATAAATAATATGGATTGTTACAAAACTAGCTATTATTTAATTTTGGAAACAGTTTCATGAGTCAAGAGAAACCAGGCACACGCAGAGAGAAGGAACAGAACCAAAGGCCTCCATACAGTCACCAGTAACTCGCTATGCAGTTTGTTCTCACAGGCTTTTCTGCAGCAGAGAAGCCAGTTCATACTGAGCACAATCATCTCTCTCTATTTTACACCACACTGATGCTGCCTGTAATGAGAAATGATCACTGTTCAAGTAACGAAGTTTAGGATCTTGATGCCTCCAGCTCACCCAATCTGTTCATACTGTTTTTAACTCCAAGGACTTAAAGACACATCTAATTTGCTGAGAAGGAGGCACTGCTCCATTACCAAATACAAGACCAATTTAAAATAAAAGCTTTTCACCAAACTCCAGTGATACTTGAACAGAGCTTCTATAGATCAGCTATGCTTACAGAAGTTGGACATTCCACATTACCAGAGCAACGTGACACACCAAATCGATTTGGCTTTTTGAGAAAGGAAAGAAACCAAATGCTGTTACCAAGCTTTGAACGAGAGACAGTTAAACAGCTTTCAACACCAGCAAAGAGAGTAAATGCTTCCAGTTAGCAAGATCTAGTTCACAGCTGATAAACAACCATTTCAATTTAGTAGCACCTCAGTAGGACCCCTTCTCAGCCCTTCAGTTCCCCACCACATTAGCAGCAGTTACACATTACCAGTCACCAGAATTAACTGGCCCAGGTAATAGGACTGATGGGAGGAAAAAAAAATACCTATCAGGTACTTTAATGTTACCAGTGCATTCAGAATTTGTAGGGGCAATGGATGTAAAGACTCCAGTGTAGAGAAAAACAACCAAAAAAATTTTTTTTTAAATTATAAGGATTGAAAAACACCACCAAATAGATGAAATATGTCTAGTTTACCTCAGTATTTTAAACAACATTATACATTTTATTGTTTAGAAAACATGATGACATTGCAGAAAAATAAAATAAAATTTGTATTTAACAGCACAAACATTTTACATAATGGTATAAAAAGTCTATTGGGAGCCTGGAGGAGGGGGAAAGGGGAACAAAACCAACAAAAAAATTACTACTCTAGAAAAAGTAAAAAGCTAAAACAAATTCCAGAAGTGTAAATCACAAAGTTTTAGCTGTTTCAAATACACAACTGTGTACCTTTCACAATAACAGTCACAACTGAAAGTTTTTATATTACCAGTCCTCCAACAGGCCAGTCTGCAAGATAAACTCAATCATAATAAATTGCAAAATTCATAAGTATGCAATTACTGACTGCTTTTAGATGTTCTAAAAAGCTTTTTTTAAACATCTAACAGTTCATCTTTTATATTCAATTTGTGCTTAATGTTTTTTAGTTCTGACATACTGAAACCCAGCAGCACAGATGGTTTGTGACTATTTATTGCCTTTAAGCATACATTTCTCCTTTTTCCAAAGAATGATGCAACATCAATTTTCCAAGCATACAGCAGTGTGGACAATAACTGCATCTCTTTTTTTGAAGGATATGGCCTCACATGAAAATAGTCCGTCAAAAACTGTTTTTGAGTTTCATACGAGCTGTGATCATACTGTCTGGGATCTACTGCTAGAACACGAAGATCCTCACTCGAGATTTTCTTTATCTCAGTCCTAATACCAACCTTCTGTCGTTTGAAAGGCACCAGCCCTGAATACAAGTCATCTTCTGGATACAGAGCTAGTCCCGTACTCAAGCTTAGTGGCTGCTGGTCCTTATTCTTTTGGTCTTCTGTAACAAAGCATGTATCAGACTGCTTTCTCTTAACGACAGAATCATGCTTTTCACCATTCACTAACAGCAGCTCTTTCTTCTCAGTACGCTCAAGCTGCATCTTCACGCTTGGGTTGCTGTTTTTGGGAGCACTTCTACAACGGAGCAAATGCACAGCAATAGCTGTTAGAGTCATACTTCCAGTGTACACGCCACAACAGTGGATGCACTTGAAAGCTGGAGACTTTAAAATTGTATGTACAGTTGGCATAACGTGATGCCTCTCTTTCAAATGCATTTCATAGGTTTCCTGGCTAATAAACAAACTGAAACAAAATGGACAGGTGAACACTTTGTTGCATCCATTGTTCAATTCTGCTGCCTGAGGTTTCACTTTGATGTAAATGGGGACGAGCGTCCTTGAATTTACTCCAGCGAGCACTGCCAAGTGTACTTCTCTTTCACCAATGTCTTCTTCTGGTAACACTGTACTGAAATCAAAGTGGGGAAACACCAGGTCACCCTGAGCCTCATTACCTAGCTGAAATCCTCTGTTGCTGTAATCTGCATGTAACTGCTTCCTGCCACTGTGTGTAGATTTATTGTGTTCCGCAAGGCTTTTTAAGTCGTGGAAAGTAACTGTGCAAAACAAGCAAGCTAAACCGTGCATCAGGAGGTGTTTCATGAGCTCTTCCTCACAGAGAAAGCATTTACAAGGGAAACATCGGACCGTCTTCTCTGTCATCCACCTCAGAAAGGGTGCACAAGCTGCAAGTTTGTCAGGTTCCTGGGCTTCCTCTACTTTTACTTCACCATGTTTGTGGGCCACCTCCATATGCACCTCATAGACGTTCGATGGAAAGAGCTCATTGCAAACAGGGCAAATCTTCCACTGCTTCG